TTTAAAAAACCAAATCAGTGAATTCATCTCTCATCCCTTTTTCAGTTTTCACTGCCTCTTGGAAGACTCTTCTAGATAGCTAATCACATCATCTCTTTATACACTCATCCTGCCTCACCTTTCTAATCATTGTCTTCTACTTGAACTTCCTGAGTACCAGGTGCCATCGGTGAGACAATATGTTTGAATCCTTCTTCCTCCTGCTGCTACTCACTGCTGCACGCCTGCGCGGCTTTTCCATCTTCTGTTCTTGATACTCACCCCATGCTCTGGAGGGCCATCCCCTGGTCTCTGGAATGCAGATGGTGTGTGTGCCCACAAATTGCCATGTGCCAGACTTATTTCCTTTAGAAAATGTCTCTTCACAATTTCGTTGAATGGACTTAATATACTATAAGTCCAGCCCACATGAAAACAGTTCCATTGCTACACGGATTTGATCCAAACTGGGCATTTATTTTCAAAATGATTTCATCTGTGTTCTTGGAATTTAGAAAGGCTTTTTGAAGCATGATCCAGGTTGCCTGTTTTTAAACTTTGTGCAGAGAATCCCTAACTTGTTTCCCCATAACTCACTTCTTTAACTAAGGGCTGCATGGAGAACTTCCTGGACCAGACCTGTGCTTCAAGTGATTTGCATAAGAAGCCTTTGTATTGTTATCAAGGTAACAAAAGCCAAAGTTGGGGGGGGGGGGACACTGCCAATCTTCCTGCCCTGACACAGAAATCAGATTCACTTTGTCTACTGACATCTAGGCTCTGCCCATGTAGTTGTCTCTTCCTGTGGCAGTCACCACACGACTGCAAGTGCACAATTTGAATGCTGCTTGTTGGACGTAATAAGCATTCATGGCTCCATGTAATCTGGGGATGATCTTGCCGATCAGCTGCACTTTCCCGTAGTAAGCGGATGGCAACATAGCTGACCATCTCTTGCACTGCGCATGAGGGGCTTCCAGGTTTTCACTATTGTACATAATACAATGGACATCTTTGTGCCAGGGCTTTTTCTGCTTTTGGATTACTTCCTCAGGCAAGGGTGGAGTTACTGTGTCAAAAGATCAAAAGGGATGTTATTTATTTATTTATTTATTTTTACTTTAATTGATCTCCTAAGGTGTTGTGCTGGGTCACCTAGCTGCCAACACAGCAAGCAGAAGCCCAGGTCCACTCTGAATGGTGGCTCCTCCTCTTTATTATAGAGGACCTGCAGCACTGCTATCACCTGAGCCCTGCTGGACACCAGCTGTGAAAGTTTAGGAGGTAGTCACAGAGGGTAGGTTCTTCACCCCAGTCTCCAGCAAGAGCTGTGGCTCCAGGTGGAGGGGCTCTACCTGAGGTGAAACTGCCTTAAGGGACCCTGGAAGAACGTCAGGGCTGTAGCCTGAGGTGCTTTCCTGTGGACCCCATCCTGGACCTTTACAAATGCCCAGAACGCAGGATGATTGCTCCTAGCTGGCGCCCGTCTTGTTTATCAAGTGTTTCCATCAACTCTGACAGACACACATTTTCAGCCATGGTTCCTTTAAGAGAAGAAGTGTTTTTTGACTTTTCACACTCAGCACCGGCTGAAGTGGACAACTTCAGATGGAACAATGCAAACTACAGGAACTACACAAAATCGAAAACAAAGCGGGCCTTCTCTGCAGGAGTGGCTTCAGCATCCCAATTCCCTGTGAAATGTGCCACAGTGTGCCTGGGCCAGTGGCCTGGCCTCTCCCTCCAGCCAGCCTCACAGACCCCAGGTGCTCCTGCAGCCTCCGGCCACCACTGTGCACAGCCGAGGGGGAGAAGGTGCATTTGCTTCTCATGGCTGCTGCAGCACTCGGTGACTTTAGACAGCCCTGCGGCTGTGCTCAGAGGCTGGCTTGGCTGAAAACAAGGGACTGTTTCAGCCCATTTTGTGTTACTATAACAGAATACCACAGACTGGGAAATTTATGAAGAGCAGAAACTTAGGCTGCAGCCCTGTGGTAGAGTGCCTGCCTGGACAGACAAACAAGGGCCCCGAGTTTATTCCCCGGCACTGGAAAAAAAAACAACCAAGCAAGCCTGGGACTGCCCAGCCTCTGGAACTGTAAAAAATGAGAAATTTATTATATACGACTCTTCAAATAGATTTCTCACAGTTCGGAAGGTTGATAAGCCCAAGGTCAAGGTGCCAGCACTTGGTGAGAGCCTTCTTGGTGTCCCCTTGGGGCAGAAGAGCAGAAGAACCTCCCCTGCAGGCCTTCTGCAGCAGCACTAAGCCACACCGCAGCGGAGCCCCCACTCCCAATGCCTCCCATTAGGCCTCACTCCCAACTCTGTTGCACTAGGGTTAACTGTCAAGTGAGTTTGGAAGGGGACACATCCAAGCCATAGCAGAGACATCTCCCCTTTTGTGCCCCAGCAGGCGGTTCCTGGGGTTGAACTTGGGAGCTGCCATACAAGGTCTAAGGGATGGGGAGGACTTGTGGTGGCAGGGTCCACCTCTCCTCCTCTAGCAACAGCACTCCTTGGGAGGCTCAGAGTTGAATCCCTGCCCCCACGCACGGAGCAGGCACATGACCAAAGCCAGCCCTTCCCAGAGAATGTGAAGTAGAGCGGGCAGTGGCAGCTGTGGTATAAAGATGTGTCTGAGACTAGGCCAACCTCCACCAAGGCATCTAGGAGGGCAAGGCCAACCCACAGAGGCCAAGACTGAGGAGAGAGGCCTACAGGCAATAGCGCCTGGCCAGCTCCCCAGAACTGACCTTCTCAGGCTCTGGGGACACATTCAGTCTTCGGAATCTTCTGTGTTACAGCTAAGGCAGGTTGAAGATAAACAGGTGGTTATTTGCACATCTGGCATCAGCACTGCCTCTGGGTCAGTGTGCTAGTGAACACAAAGCGGTCACCCTGTCTGACCTCACAACTAGCTCTGCTGCCTTGGGCAGACCATTCAACTTGTTCCTCAGTCACCTTGTTTCTAAAATGGAAATAAGAAAACTGTTTCACGGGGTTGTTGTGAGAAATGAAGAAGCTAAGAACTAGTGGGCCCTAACCAAGTCTTAGGTTAGGGTATGGTGCACCTCAGAAGATGACTGGAAATGGTGTCATTCATCTGAGGTGGTCAGCAGCACTAAGGCTCTTGTGGGCCAGTGAACAGTGCAGCTGGTTCTCCTGTGGTGCCCCAAGTGGGAAAGGGGTGCCCAAGCCACTCCAGTTGCACCTTCACCCACAGCCTTGCTTTTAGCCCTTATCTTCTCTTGCCAGGACTCCACACTCTTGCAATATCTACCCAGCACATGTGCTCAGGGTGTGCTCTAGGCAATGACAACACTTGTTGAGCACCAAGAAGCCAGAGTGCAGGGCTCCGGCAGACACCCAGGACACAGGTACCCTCCCAAGACCCGGGACCTGGGCCTGGAGGCCTCTCTGGGAAAGTGGTGCCTAAGCTTAGGAAAACTTGGGAGTTGGCTGGGCAAAGGGAGAAATGTTCCCAAACAGAAGAAAGAATGTGAGTTATTATTGAGAATTCTCTTGGCTCCTCTCCCACCAGTTCACAGATCCAAAAGCCTCTTTTAGAAAGAAAATTTAGGGTCTGGGGATGTAGCTCAGTGGTATAGCACGTGATTTGTGTGGGGGAGGCCCGAGTTAGAACAAAACAAAACAAGCCTGTCTCACCTTTTAAAATCATTCAATGGAGCTCTTGGAAACAAGTCTCACTCTTTGGCTCTTTCTTCCTGTCTTCGTGGTTAACCTCATCTTTTGATGGCCCACTACTCCAGAAGCTTGCCTGACCCCACCCAGAGCTGCCCACCGTCAATCACACAAGTACACTAAAGGACAAGAGAAGAATTTGCACCCCATAATCTAGAAGTGGGACAACTTGAAAGAGATCTTTAAAGCATGTGTATTAAACGGATCAGAGAAAGGCTAAAAAAGGCAGGAACGGGCCACCCAGCCTTCCGCCGGCCCACGGGGTGGTCATTTGCACGTCTGACCGCCCATGTCATAGATCCGGCATTGCAGGCTGCTGGGGCTAGCCCGGTCCTTTGCATTGGTCACTGTGCTGGACACACCGGGCGCTCCACTCACGGTAGCGGTCAGTTCCGGCTTGGTACTTAGTCAGTTCCAAACCCCTAAGCCCCGCACACTGCCTAATGAATGGAAATAGGGAACCCGACTCCACACCCGCGCTGGAGCTCTCGGGTGCCAGAACTACCTCGGAGGCCCCGCCCTGGATTTCAATGACCAATCAGCGAGGACCTAGGATCTATGCCCGCCTCCCGCCGTGCCCCTCGACCAATCAGAGAGGTCAGAGCGTCCGTCTCTCCTAGTGC